ATTATACATGTGTAGGTATTTATACAGTGGTACCTGGTACATATAATATCATTAGGACTTAGTAGAAGTAGAAACCATAGTTTTGACGTATAAATTATATGCCTGTTTAATAACATTAACCAAAACTTAACATTTACATTTACAGAAAAGATTAATTTTATGTATACGTTGTAGACAGTGGCATAAATAGATACAGATTACAGGAAGGATGTAAAGTGTTTACCATTTACACCGTAGAATCTACATGAGTTAATACAAAAGAAATATTTTTAAAAAAATTCCATATATAGTGAATTAATTGTAATGGCTTATAATTATTAAATACATAGAAAATAGATTTAGAAACTATAACTAAATAGTAGAATACTATAATATAATATTAGATGATAATAAAGTTACCCTAAACCAAAATAAAATAATGGAAACTACTCGCATTCAGTATCAATTGATATATTTATTGTAAAGGTACTTAAAATACTAAATATTATGTTTAAAAATATTATAAGTATTTAATTAACAATTATCTTTAGATAAATAATAACTCGTATAAATATATTATGTGTTTAAAATTCAATAAGTTTTATTCACGATAGCGTAAACTTTTTAACGAAATCTATAAAATCATGTTCTATTTTTTTTGAAGAGATGCCTGTTGAAATATATAAAGTGGGTCTCGTAGTTGGTGGTTTTATTAATCACTGAAAATTCGGTAGACATGACAAATGATTATCACGGACAAGACTATAATTCAAAGTTTGAGTAAAAAAAAAAGTAAAAGCGTAGAGATTCATTAAAATTAAATGAATGTCCGACAGTTGAAGTTCAATTTTTGTCATTGACATTCTTCTTTTTTTGTAATAAAAAATGTTTAACTCGATTTATATTATACCTACCTATAATATAATATATATATTATACTATATACATAGGTATACTTCAGATAACGCAATAAGCTTTAAATAAAACGGTAAAGAACTAAAGAATGATTTAAAAATTGATCACAATATTTTAATATTATGTAGTCACATAATATTATAATAATCTCTTAATATCAGTATCTTAGTCTTAGAGCCAATGGCCAATAGTATTTTAAAATAAACACATCTAAAATTATTGTGTTGTGTTTTTATTAATAATCGAAGAATTAATAACTGACTTGTTTCAAATAGGTATGTACATAAAAATATAAAATTTTTAACGTTGAACTGTTATATTATTGTTGGCATATTTAATGAAATAATAGGTACCTACGAGTATTTTTAAATAGGGTAATTAAATGTTTAAAACATTAAATTCACAAAAATAAACAATAAAGAACATTTAACTCTTTGTAGATATTCTTAGTAATTATAGATATTATGGTAGAGCTGGTACTGCTACAGGCCTATTAGCTATTAGAATAAATCAAGTTTATGTCTGTGTCAACAGCAAAACAATCAAAAGCGGTCCGCCTACACAATAAGTACTCACTTGGTCCTTATAATTTATCATTAAACCATATTTATACGTCATCACTCATCATACATTTAGTATTGATAATATTTATCTCAACTAAGAAAAACTACAAAATTGTTTAAAAGCAAAACACAACATAATTATAAGCTTTAAGGCTGTTTTAGGTATCTACCTAAAAAAAATTAAAATGGTGTTCATACTAAAACACAGAATATGAAGGCGTTATTATCCGAAAGATTTGTACATTTTCAATGGGAAAGTTGAATAGTTTTTTTTTTTTATATGTAATGTATGTATTTAATTAGAATTAATGACAAATCATTGTACCTATGTATAAGGCAATGGAAAACAATTCATCCTCGAATTCATCTTAAATTTAAATTTAGCTTAAACGCTTCTTACCAAAAAAAAAGTTATTATGTACCTATGTATTTTCGATCAATTTAAATTATGGTAAGAACAACTTATAAGGAACCTCCGAACCTAGTATTAAAATGGCAAACCTTTTTACTTATAAACAAAAAAAAAATATTAAATATTCATAAATAAAAAAAGTTAATAATTTTAAATGTCTAAAAATAACACTAAATTAGCTGAAATATTTTGAAGTTTTTTCCTATAATTTTTTTAATACTGGAAAGAATTTAAGAATTTTTGCTAACTTTTGACTTGAAAGTGCGTAATGCGTAGTGAGTCGCGTGCCTGCGTGTGACGTCTTATTCAACATTCGTACCCAAACATCATTTGATGTTTGTCAGAACACCACCACGACATGAACCAAATGATAGAATTATATCGCACACCAAAATACCTAAGTATATCTTGTAGTGTTATATTTAAGTGCTGTACTGAAAGCATATAGCGCATTACCGTGATTATTTTACGCTATTAGGTACGAGGATTATTATATTATAATATGTAAATAAAATAAATTATAATTTATAATAACTTTCAAAGAAACCTATAAAACTTTATAAAACTACCTATCTATTCCTACGATAGGTGCAAATGTCCAATGGGAACCTATGAGTAGTGTAGATCACTTTAATAAGCATTCAAATACCTTTGATGCCTTGAAGTTTCTCAAGAAACAGAGGGCGGTGTTATCCATGGTTATAGCTAGTAGTCCCGGGTCCAATAGGACCCGAGAAGAACAAGACTTGTTTCGCCACTGTACATCACTATATAATAATCTAATGTCTGTATAATATAACTTATTGGTATAAAACCACCAATAATATAAGGTGATCCTTAGTAAACATATTGTTAATTATTATAGATCTTCATAACGCATAGGTACCGTTTTAATCTTAATCAATAAAAAGGAAGGACAAAAGCATATAGTTTTATTCTTAAGACAACGGTGCATGTATATGGATTACCTACCACATAATAATAAATAATAATATATACTTTGGTAGAGTAACACCGAACGAGATATGAGCATGGCTTTTTTTTTACATTACCTAATTGTAATGATTTGTCATTTTTGTTTTAGTGCACCAAAATACTGCGTAACAATACTATGTAATAACAAAGATTAAAAAGCCCCATAAAAAAACTTTTAACAAATAATAAAATATAATAGATTGACAACTTTGTAAGAAAAAATAAATAATTTTCTTGAATAAATAATTGTTCTAACAGGTTATACAATGTATATTTATACAATGTAATATTTATGCAATGTTTTTTAGTTGGTCCAAATGTACTTTACCCAATTTCAATAATGCTGGAGGACTTATGCTACATGGTTTAACAACATGGAATATGGATATTGTGGTTACAAAGTTTATATCTTACTCACGTAGAATAATTTTCTGGGCAAACCACCCAAAGGAATAGTTATTAGTTAAGTAATCTTCTATATTATGTGTATTAGACGGTATTAGATGAAAATGAATAGAATTAAAATTAAAATATTACTTTAATTCGTGACTAAAATGTAATGATTACCGTAGGCACTTATTGATAAGAGGCGATTGTAATATATTGTATAATTCAATGTAATAAAAATAACCAGTTTACTTAAGTTCAAAATATTAATCAACGGAATAATCATTTCATGAAACAACGAATTTTTTTATGCCATGTGTCCAGACTTACAACAATAGAACATAATAATATGTTTAATTAAACTATGGTTAAGGAATTTAGATATACCTAGCGAAAGAGAATTACAAAAGCTTATGTACTTTCTTAAATATTATATAGGTAATTTTAAAACTCAAAAATGTACCTATGTTATTATGTTCTAGTGCTTTATTAAAAAAATACTCAATGAATTATGTTCAACGTTAGTCGTTTCCTAGTATTTATCTTAAATAGGTATTCAAACAAATTAAAACAACTTTCAATCTGTCATTGAACTTTGTAGAGCTTAATAATAATATGTAATTGTAACCATTATTATAATCATAAATAATCTACCTATTCACGCTAATTTTAATGCCAAAAATATTAATTAAGATGCAAGTGTAATCAATCACTAATTTCAACTACCTACCTATATGAAATTCATGAATCACATTTATTTGCTAACCATTGTATTTATAAAAATGCAAGCAAATAATCCACGTTTATTAAATATATTGTGTTTAATTTAAACTAACAAATTATAGTAAATAAATAAAACAAGTAGCCATACACCTATAGGTACCTACCAAATGTTTTATCCCATACCGTTTACAATTATTAATTAATATATAAAGATTGAAGGTCGTACTTTACGGGGATATAGATAAACTCAAAACTGCAATGTGCAAATGTTTTTCACGGATTTACTCAAACAAGACTCCAATCATAACAAAACGTTATCACATAAATAAGTTTACATCATTGCTGTATTATACAACTATACCTAGGTATACTTATTTAAAAATGTTGTAATTAATAAGTATATTATTTTTAAAAGTAAACTGCGTAGACCTTGTTGACAGTTGTCCCCACGTTTTCGACGGGTTTGTTTTTTTTAACAATAAGGCTCTTAGAGAATTTATCGGCAGCAAGGTGCGAAACAAAACTAACCATTAAATATGCAAATCCTGGTCTTACATTTAGGGGTCAGCAATTGTCTCATATATACCTACCTACATCTGAACATCTCGTAATATTCGTTACGGTCCTGCCAATTAACTCGAAGTCGTAATAACCAATTTAAAGTCGACCAAAAATCGACACGAACATAACTGATTACAATTATTATATTCGCTAATCAACATTTTAGGCTTAATAATACTGTACCACAGAAGTCAACTAACGAAAGTCCATTTTTTGAAATTTTGAGTTAGTTTTATAATCAGAATATGCTTTTTGTGATCTTTTTAAAGGTATACTGACCTAAGTCCTAAACTATGATAGGAGTATAGAAATTTATGTCCAGCGTTTACATAAGAAAAGTAATACAAAATAATATTTTTGAAGTATACCTACAACATATTTTTGTTTTGTCTCTCCTATAAAATTTGCTTTTTGTGACTTTCGTTACTCGACTTCTGTGGCACAGTATTGTATACCTATTGTATAAATACGGATGCATCACTCACTTGCAATAGAACAGTCTATTGTCGTTGGCCAGGTGTACGCTCCATCCCGGTATCAGCCTGTTCTGTATGGACTGTAGGAGATGTGACGTGTTCTTCTGGCCATGTGCACCTTGTCCCTGGTGGAGCAACATGAGTGCGAATGATCCGCCGTCGTCAACATGTCAACATCGGGCAAGTGGACCGCCCGTCCGGCAGTACCGTAGCGGTGGTGATCGTTGCCGCCGCAGCAGCCACCACCGGCATGTCGCGGACCGTCGTATAGCAACCCTTATAATATTTAAATCTGACGAACAAGAGTATCAAACGACGGTATGGTATAATAATTATTTTACTCGCCGGGAAAACACAAACAGGCAGAACGAATGATTATAATTTATACGGTTATTGTAAGAAGTGCCTCCTACCTATAAAATATTATTAAAAAATTAATTTTGCAATTTCGTGAGACGGCGAATCGTGTACCCGGTTATTATAATATCTATTCGTCGCGGGATCGGAATCGGTGAGAACAACGACGACGACGACGACAATAATAATAATATTTATATTATTATAAGTACGCGACGGCGGCGGCGGTGGCGGCGGCGGTAGCACACGACGAACAATGCTTGAGCGGATAATGAGCACTACTATCACGGGGGACACACGCCGCGCACGACGAGGAGTCGGTATCGCGTACGCTCACGCACAAGCGCCGGTGCCAAGGGTCAGTGCAGACCGGGGCGTGACTATATGGTGGGCAACGTGCGCGCAGTGCGGCCAAATCGTCGGCGAAACACTGACGAAAAGCTTCGAAGCGCCACGCCGCCACCGCCCCGGATAGGAAATAAAGTTCCGCCGACCCCGTCCCTACAACCGCCGACCCCGTCCCTACAACCGCCGACCGATGCCGACTTGTTTTATTACGCGAACGTACCCACCCGGCCCGCGAGTGGCAATCACCACGACTGCCACCGACGCCGCCACTACCGCTGCTGACGTCTTTTTGACGAAGGAATTAACTAAATAATAATTCACAGCGTTCGTTCGTTAGATATTCAAAATTATTATAATTTTTTCAATCAATTACAATAATGTATCCAGAACATTTCTTAAGTCCCTGTTATTTTCAAGTCCAGAAGTGAAAAAAAAATAAACGACGGTCCCTCGTTATTTTAGAAAAAAAAATCTAGAATATTTTACAGCGACTGAGGGTTTGTTTTATTTTTCATTTTTAACACCTAAGTTCAATTTTAAAACTGGTATATACCTACGTTATTTGCTAGCATGTAAACATTTACAAATATCATCCAAGTAAAAAGGAAACTATAGTTGACAACCGTGCGTCTGTGCAAAATAATAATTTTCATTTGTCTAGTACCTAAGCAATTTACAAATTATAATAATTAATAAACAGCTAACACATATTAATATATTATATGTAATAAATATTTAATAATAAAAAATAGGGTAAGTGGGTAACTCTCTGCTGTACATTAGGTGTCTACTGTGAAGAAAGTCACTGTAATGTATGGGTTAAATTTTAACTCAATGATATGAAATCATTGCATACGAAAAACGATTGTGAAAGGAGACGGCCAATAATATTACTAAAAGTATATTATGTTAGATGATATTATTCTGATTAAAGTAATTTATTTTACTATTAGGCATTAGTACAACATTAGTTAAATTCATTTTTGCCGAATAAATAACATTTTAAAGTGAGGGTGAGTAGCTACAGTGAATCACTCTGTACATGACGATAGAAGATAGTATGAGCATATAAACACATGTATGTTATATACATCTCATAGTAAACCCGGAAATTGGGTAAACTATGAAATGTTCAAAGAAATATTTCCAAACAAAAAATGAATCAAAAACTAAACATTTTCAAAACTTATGGGGCCAACTCCTAATATATATCAAAAAGTTCAAAGTAAATGTTTTTATATTAAAACTTTGAGATTTGAATTTAGGGAAACAAAGTTTATAACTTGCATGCGTTGTTTTGAAATCTCCTACATTCTTAATTCCATAACTTTTAATCTGCTTTGCGTTTGTGTACATTTTGGGCTATCAATATATTAAAGTTATAGTTATTAATATTATAACTATATATATGTTTAAACATAAAGAAAAGTCTATAAATTAAAACACAACATGATAGATATAGTGTCCATGTTAAGTGGATTAAGACAATGTTTATTATGTGCAATGGCTATTTCCACATTTCTGGATTATTCTGATACAAGTTAGCAGGTAAGTTGCTTCAAAAATATAGTAAAGACGATTATACGTAAAAGTTAATAAGCATTGGTGTTTGGTATTAACTAACATATCCCTCCTCCCATCATGGTGTAGTTTCTATCTACATAATATAGTGCCTGCTGCAGTTCTAAATAATTTTTTCGGAAAACAAGATAGTTTTGAAGTAAATTATTTTGTTTAAGTAAATTACGAGATTGTATTGTCTTTTTCAATACAATTAAAATTTTTTAACAATTTTTGTGGCATTAAAATTGAAATTTTTATTTTCTAGTTTAGATTAGGTACATAAATACTTCTAACACCTATAAAAACATAAAAAAAATAAAAATAATGAAAAAAACAAAACACCCGTTTATAGACATATATTCGCAATTTTTAGGCAAACTAAGATCTGTTCATTCTGTTCAGAATCGTTTTTAAAAAGCATTGATTAAAATGTAAAGACTTCTGTCATAGCAGCTAATAGTCTACTCAAATTGTATAGCATTTGCAGGTATATAATTCAATAATTGTATACTACATAGCATTGCCGCATTGGTTTGGGTCGTGCGTGATTGTTTACATATAAGGAATTATATATGGATATTATACCATTATCTCTATAAAGGATGTGCCAAGTTAGAGAAAATGTGAATACTAATTTATTTGTAATATATGTTATTACTTATTACAGCACATACCTATTTAATATAATATGGTATAATAGTATAATACCATAATTTTATTGTCGCTGAATATAGGTACCTACTTATTTTTGAGATTCAAACACAGTTATTGTTTTAGGAACGCATTTTTTTTTTTTTTTTAATAGCGAGGAAGGTAAGGTAACCTTGACCGATTCTACATACCAACACTATAGCCTATACCTTTTTATACCTAACTAATATTTGGGCGTGCCATTGAATTTCAAATCTGAATTAGGCGTGGTAAATGGAAATAGATACAAATATTCTTTGTGCAGACTAGGTACATATTACTGAAAAAAAATTAAATTTTTTAGTTGAGTAGGTAAATTATATTTTAAGAAGTTTTCTCGAGTTGAGTATAATCTTAAAATTGAAAAAGTGGGTAAGTGGATGTCGCTCTGCTGTATAGTAGGTTACAAGTGGGTCAATGTATAAACTATAAAGGATTGTATTAAACTTGAATTCAATTATATAATATCATTGACCATTGTATAAGAAAAACGATTCTGAGAGGAGACAGTTTGTCAGTCTAGATATTTTTATTATTTATTATATCCGGTAAGTTGAATTTATATTATAATAGGTATTATTTTTTTTTATTCGTTTCTATGGTGATAAACAAAGCGTTAGAAATTAAAATCCCATTTTTGACAATTTTTCGTAATTGTCAGTGATTTCTCCAAAATAACTATAGAGAAAATCGAAAAATGCCCTTTTTAAAGTATCATCTTGATCCAATTTGCTAAAAGATAAGCTAATATATGTTGAAAACGAAGCACTCCTTCTGGTAAATGTTTTGTAGGTATACAGGATGTCAGGATATAAAAAAAAAATAAAAAATATATAAACACCATTGTAAAACCACTAACTTCCTCTCTCCGCTCAGAATCTAATAATCAAATCTACAAATGTTAAACAAAAGTAATTTCATGTGGCAAATAATGAATACACTTTAATATCCAATACCTATCTATAAAAAAAAACTTAACTACACTAAAACTGAAACTTATTGTGAGGTTTGATAAATTATTTAATTTAAAATTCTTATTCAATTATTACACTCGTATATTATAATTATCAATTTACCGAAAAATTGTAGGGTACCTATATTAATAAAAACATAAATAAATAACATTTTGTATAGAACAATATATTTTTTTATCAAATGTTGAATATTAATAATTAATAATTAATAAATGTAAATATACATAAAGCTAACAAATGCCAATTGAGGTAAATTTACAATGGTTTTAATAAATAAAAATGTTGGTCACGCTATTTCATAATAAATAAAATATGTATCTATTTAAAATAATTTTTCTAAAACCAATACACTAAATTATTTTCAAAAAATCAAATTTAATTTACGTTGTAAAAATAATGAATATGATTATCGAAATATTTACTCATAAATTATTTTAAAGTAAAAACAGTGCAATATTATTGATTCATAAACAAAGTAACCAACTAACTTTACTTTTAATTATAAGTGACAATGTGACATATTATGTTTTATTGATACCTACGTCCTACCTATATCGACATATCGTTATTCATTAACCCAGATAAATGTGGGTAGCCTACTGCTAAATTACTACCAAACCTTCCTACCTACCTACCTACCTAATGATTTAACGTTATGTTGTATTTTTTAAGTAGGTACTTATAGTAGTACCTATGCAAGCTACAAATATCCAACCATATGGTTATTATATTATTACTGTAATAATTAATATTGAGTATAATCAGTTAATAAATAAATTAAATAAAATATATTATATAATAAATTCAACATGATCAATAAGCCGAAAAATGTATCATAAAAAATTATTAAGTGCCTATTGAATACCTATTATATAGATACCTACCTAATAGGTTATTGATCATAATAATTTATTTTAGATTCTGAGCGGAGACACTACTAACGGAGAATCACGATTTTAGTTATTTTATTTTAATTCAAAAATATTATTCGTAGTGACTTGTAACTTTGTACTCTTGTCTCTTACGTATACCTATTATCACTATATTTTAGTATATGTATATGTAATGTATACTAAGTATATGTATACAGTATACTAAAATATAGTGATAATAGGTATACGTAAGAGACAAGAGTACAAAGTTACAAGTCCCTACGAATAATATTTTTGAATTAAAATAAAATAACTAAAATCGTATATACGCATGAC